ATAATAATAATAATAATAATAATAATAATAATAATAATAATAATAATTATTATTATTATTATTATTATTATTTTGGAAAAGATCACAATGAAGTTCAAGATCCTTGAAGCCTTAGTAAGACCACACCTAGAATACCGCATCCAGTTTTGGTCACCACACTATAAAAAAAGATGTTTTACAACAGCAACACATTTGTTGTAAAATTAATAAAAATTTAATATATATATATAAAAAAATATGTTGAGACACTAGAAAGAGTGTAGAGAAGAGCAAGCAAGATGACTAGGGAGGATAATACATAGGATGAACGGTTGCAGGAACTGGGCATGGCTAGTCTAGTGAAGAGAAGGACCAGGGGAGACAGAATAGCAGTGTCCCAATATTTGAGGGGCTGCCACAGAGAGGAGGGAGTCAAGCTATTCTCCAAAGCACCAGAAGGCCAGACAAGAAACAATGGATGGAAACTGATGAAGGAGAGATTCTATCTGGAAATAAGGAGGAATTTTCTGACTGTGAGAACCATCAACCCATGGAACAGAAGTTGCCTTCAGAAGTTGTGGAAGCTTCATCACTGGAAGCTTTCAAGAAGAGACTGGATGGCCATTTGCCAGAAATGGTGTAGGGTCTCCTGCTTGGGCAGGGGGTTGGACTAGATGACCTCCAAGGTCCCTTCCAAGTCTTGTTAATCGTGTTAAAATCCAGGGTGGACTGTTTAACATCTTCTTGTAAGTTTATAGTACTGTTGTTTTCTCAGTCTGCTTTGCTTCTCCCAGTGGGTTCTGCAGACATAAGTACACCTGAGCTCTGTTAGATTTTTTTTTTTTTCTCTCTTTTAATTCTGCAGGGAAAGTTCCACCCGGTCCTTTGGGTTTGGAACAAAAGTTGTTATGCTACAGACCAAAATAGCTTTGCGACTCTCTGGGCGAATGCAGCACTTACAGGGTTTTCTGTTCCCATCCTTCCCAACCATTCAGCCATTGTATATAAAATGTTGGCCTTTTATTCCTAGGGTGCTGAACGATATCGTGTGATTGCTTAGCGTTTCGTGCTTCGTACAAAATTATAACAGATTTAAATAGAGTTTCCCAAGCTTGTGGGGGGGAGGGGGGATTTTTTCTTTTGTTAAATTTATCTGCCGCTTGTGTCCGTCCCCGGTCCCTTGTCCCCCGTCCCCCCTTTTAAGCATCTTAACAATAATTCAAAGGAACAGAACAGAAATAAAACAATAAATAGGAAAAAGCAACCCCACGAGACTATAGGAAAAGGGTCGGGTAAGAAACGTGAGAATAAATTAAAAAAAATAAACACATTGACACGCCGCATTTGCTTCACCGCTGTGGCAAAAAGTTGGGTGTGACTCATTCAGGGGTGGGCTTCAAAAATTTTAGCAAGGAGTTCTCTGCCCCGTTGCTGGGTGGGCGTGGTCACGGTGGGCGTGGCCTAGTTGGCCGCCTGCACTACAGTGGGTGGGGCATTTTTGCCCTGTCCGGGCTCCAGAGGCTTTTCTTGAGCCTCTAGGAGGGCGAAAATGGCCTCCTCAGGCTCCGGGGGCCCTTTTCCAGCTTTCCCGAACTTCTGGTAGGCCTGTTTTTCGCCCTCCCCGAGCCTTTGCACACGCCCTTAACTTACCTGCATTCAAAATGGGCTGCGTGGGGACTCCTGGGAGGGGTGGAGCGGGGTGGGTGGGGCCAGCCAGGAGTGGGATTTGGGGGTTCTCCGACCTGCACAGAATCTTAGCTCGAGGTTCTCCCGAACCCCTGCGAACCTGGACCCCTGGACTCATTTAAAAACTGCCTTACTTAGCCACGGACATGCTGTTTTCTCAAGTCTTACCGAATGACCCAATTAAGGGACCGTCACGAGTTACAACTGTGGTCATAAGTCAAGGACGATCTGTATTAGTCTGCTGTATCACTTGATCCGCAAGGAAGCCAGGGAGGCTCAGAACAGATGGTCTCCTTGGAGAAGAGGTGCTTGGAGGGTCAGAATAATTCGACCCTCTTTCATGCCGTAGATGTAGAAGGAACCGCTTAAAAGAGACAACAGATCTAGGAATCACACTTGGAGTCAGCCAGTAATTTCTTTTGAACACAACAATTTTTTTTTTCTTTCGGAAAAAAATTGACTTATTCTCCTGCAAGCTGATTAGACCCTACTGCCTTGGGACTGAGCTCTGTTTTCACCTTGATGTTTCCCCTGAAAAACACGATAAGCAACCTCAGGGCCTCTACTGTAGACAGTTTCCAAGGGCGTCTCTCGGATTCTTCGGCGTCTGTTCACACCAGGCAAGGCTTATGGGAGTTGGGACACCAAGCAATTGTGTTCCCAATTTCTGCTCTTAAAAAGTTCATCTGTTTTTACAAGGCCAGTTGCCCTTAAAGAGAGGCAGTCATCCTGGAGACAAGAAGTTAGATTAGAGGTAGTTAAGATAACAGAAAAAGGAACAGCGTGACCTCTGAGGGGGAGAGGTAGAATTATATGTATGCTGATTTTTTTTTTTTTTAAAGAATCCCATACAGAAGGTAAATTTCAAATGCCCTTGGAAAGGATTAAAGCTTTAATTGGGAGTGTCAGCCTGGCTTTGATGTACAGCTGCTAATAATCTGAATATTGTAGGAGTGTCAGTTCTCTCTACGGAGCAGCTCACATTTCTCTCCAGCTTATTTTATATCTCCGTGGAAATCTGCAAGGCGGTTTTGTACGTTGGTAGCAATTAGATTTCACAATGGGGCTCGGTTTTTTTTTTACTCTTTAACCACCTGCAACGCTTGTGCAGATAGAATAGAATAGAATAAAATTCTTTATTGGCCAAGTGTGATTGGACACACAAGGAAATTTGTCTTTGGTTGCATATGCTCTTAGTGTACATAAAAAGACGAGATACATTTGTCAAGAACCATAAGGTACAGCACTTAACGATAATCATAGGGAAACAGTCAATATAAATCTTAAGGATACCAGCAACAAGGTTACAGTCACGCAGTCATAAGTGGGAGGAGATGGGTGATAGGAATGATGAGTAGATTAATAGTAGTGCAGACTTAGTGAATAGTTTGACAGTGTTGAGGGAATTATTTGTTTAGCAGAGTGATGGCGTTCGGGAAAAAACTGTTCTTGTGTCTAGTTCTGATAGGTATATTCCTCTAAACGGTTCCGTTATCGCCTAGAAAAAGACGGGAAGACGAGGACAAGAAAGGCGGAGAAGGACGGAGGAGGTCTAAGATCAAGAGGCGAGAAAAAAGGCGCATCGACCGAGAGGAGAAACGCCCCAGGAAGCATATGAAAGCAACAGCTGCAGAAGGACTGAACTCCCCAGAGCTGCCTGAATGGGAGGAGAGAAAATACCTCTTAGCTCAGAGAAGGGTGGAGTCAATCAGGCTCCTCACAGTGCTGCTAAGCCAAATAAAAGTAAGAATATTTGTAAACGTATATATTCCAAAGGGGTTATTGATCTTTTCAGTTCTTTTCTGGCGGGGGAGATCAGCTGGTTCATTTTAAGCGGTTGAGCCCTCAAGATGCTCCCAACTGTTCCTTAAAATGCTTTGTTTTATAGTCTTAGAATTGTAAGCTGCCCAGGGTCACAAGGTAGAATTGGGTGGCTATAAAAATCAAATCAAATCACATCACATCAGATCAAATTAAATCGATCGATCTAAGAAGAGTGGTGCGGTGGCCTAGAGGTTGGAGCTCTCGCCTCACAATCAGTAGGCTGTGAGTTTGATCCTAGGTAGAGGCAGATATTTCTTTCTCTGGGCACGATGAGAATATATCTGCTGAATGAAACTCCGCATTGGCGATAAGAAAGGCATCCGGCCAGTAAACGCTCAGCTCCATTCAGTTGCCCAGATTCCACCTTTAAAAGAACATTAAAAGGGGTCATTAAAAGAAGATGATGAAATCAGTCAATCTAAGAATGTGAAGGTGTCTAAAAATGAGACATTGTATTGTATCTTTCCCACTTGGTGAAGGAATAAGAGCTGTATTAGGACATTATCTAAATTCTATTAAAACTCTCTTGTCTATAACCCTTAGCTGGGTGCAACAGAGGAGGCAAAACCAGGAATCCCATGGAACTGAAATTTGGCAAATTTTACAAAACATCTTATGACATCAACCTTAGCGTAGTCAGTGGTGAAATCTGAACCGGTTTGCCACCGGTTCGCTGCCCGTACATGCGTGCTGTGCATCAAACACATGCTGCGTGCACACACATTCACAGTACGCACCAAAAGGAGGCTTGGGAAGGTAAGTAGAACAGTGAGGATGGGGGGTGATCAGCTGTGTTGCGCGATTTAGATTCACTAAAAAGCAGGATTTCCTGCTTTCTAGCGATTTTAAATTGCGCGGCACAGCTGATCATTGGAAATACCGATTCGGAGGAACCGGTAGCTTTTTTTTTTTACTACCGGTTCGCCCGAACCGGTAGTTTTTATCACTTATCAGTTCGCCTGAACCGGTGCGAACCGGTAGCATTTCACCACTGATCGTAGTGATTTTATGACCACAATAAGAATATCATAAAGCGTTCCTTGTGGTCACCTCCCAATGTTTGATTGTGATCTATGGTTCAACAGGGGCTACTTTCAAGGCAGATACACCTCAGCATCTCCTAGAATTTTTTAAAAAGAACTTACCAAGTACATTAGAAGCTCTGCCATTATCGAAGGCATAAGGGGATATTCCTGAAACGGTGATCGAACGAGTCTCGGGGTTGCCTAGTTTAAAATAATACAATTTCCCCCCATTTCATTGGGTTGAGAATGGGGGGAAATTGATCCCGTTCCTCTTAGTGCCCAGTGATGGTTGCAGATGAGAAGATATAGATGGTTCTCCATCTAATCCAGGTGGATGAAACCCGAATTGCATGTGAGCTCTTCCTTGTTAGACTGTGTTAGAATTATCTTTGCTTTGTTGTGCAGTAATTCCGTTTGTCTTTCTGTTTCTCCTCAAGAATTTTGTGCTGTCCTCTGGGCAAACAGAGGCCCATCTCCCGGAGCCTCAACCCGAAGAGGAGATGATTTCCTCCATCCCTCCCGTAGAGGACACGCACAAGGAGGAGACAGATGTGCCTGACCTTGAACTTCCAGAAGCAGAGGATGTGACTCAACCTGTCTGTCCTTCTGCCCTGCTGGAAAATGTCGCGATCCAAGAAGAGAAAGAAGAACAATTCCTGGCTGAAGACTCGCCGCCCTCCCCTCCTTCCTTTAGGAGAGCTCTTTCGAACGAACCCGCTGCTAGGGCCGTCACCAGCCACTTAACGGAGAACGTTGCCCACCCCTTTCACGCCGGGGGCTTGCTGCAAGTGACAGTCACTCAGGACTGCCAAGCGATCGAGTCGTCCCCTGACAGGTGGGAGTACCTGAGATCCCACTTGGGGTCCTTCGTAGATGCTCCCGACGTAGCCAAGGCGAAGAAGCAAAAGGTTTATGAAACGGAGGAATTCATACATTATTTACTGAACTACTACCAAACGCCCCGATACGCACGAATCTGTCCCAGCACACAAAGCCCGTCAGATACATCTTGGTGGAACAGGGTAGTGTCCTGTTCCGGAGACGGCTTCCGGGTCAAACTGAAGAATAGAGACGAAGAAGACTGTTGGACGGAAGAAAGTTTAGGATCGGATCTTCCTAAAAACGAGCCTCGAGAGGATGACGAGGGTGACCCCTGGGAAATAATCGACGGACGGTCCGAGCCTGCAGAAGACCAGGCGTGCCCTCAAGAGTTTAGCGAAAGTTACCAGGGAGAATGGGACAATTCCCTGGAGGAGGAGGAGGACAGTGTCGGCTCCCCGCCGGACATCTTGCATAGCCCCATCCCAGGAGGACGCAACAATATCGCTCGCCCAAAAACATCCCAAGAACAAACCACCGAAATGACAGCCTTGTCGTCTCCCACTATGTATAAACTGAAAGACCTGCTGGAAGAGATCAGCAGCGATTCGGAATATTTCAGCGAGGCACTTAACGAACCCCGGAACCCGTCGGAACAAAGAAACGGCGGCTACCAAGGCAGCTGCAAGACGTGGCCTCTCCATCATCACCAGCAGAAGGCCAAAGAACTCTTCATACGCGTCCAGAACGTGGGCTACGAGGGCCACGACGGGAGACGGGGCGCCCGTAGCTTCTGCTCCGGCGCAGAATGCTGCGACTCCCCTGCAATGAAGCCCGAGACAAGGTTCAAAAGATCCGGTGGCAAACTCTGGTACGAAGAGCCGAAAATCCAATGGCTGTCCAGCGAAGAGGAGAGAGACCTCAGCAGGAAGAAGAAGAAGAAGAGGAAAAGGTTCTCCGACAGCTCCTTCCCGGACGAGGAGGCTCAGTTCCTCGAAACCAACCACCGCGGAGAGTTGGAAGCCTTCAGCGAGATCCAGAGAAAATGTAGCAAGCTCATCCATCACAAAGTGAAATGTAAGACTCTCCGGGCCTTGGATGGGACCGTCGGAATAAAAGACCTCATCCATTTTAGTGCCTCTCCACCGCAGGAGGAAGCTCAACGGGGGACAACGGGTAAGTGGAACGTGGACGTCGGCGAGAGAAGGCACAAAGCCGAAGATCGGCAGAGACTTTCCAGGCGCCTGGTGGAAAGGTGATAATAGAGGGGCAGCTCAGGGATGGAGTAGAAACGGCGGGAGGGTGTGGACGGAGGAACGTGGCCTCCAAAGAACTCGATAGATAAAGCAAGTCAACGTTTTAACGGCGCCTCTAGACAGGGGGGGCCGAGCAACTCCTGAAAACAAGAAGACCCCCCTCAACTCTTTTGAGTTCCTTGCCTTTCTCCCCTGCTTAGCAGGGTCCTTTCCTATTGAAGAAGCAGCTGGAAAAACGGTTCACCGGTGGGTGTTATTTCCTGTCGAAATAATCCAGCTCAGCTCATGTCTGGACTCCTCTGTCTTTGGCGTAAACCTTGTGGATGGGGCGGGGTGGTGGTGGAGAGGATGCTAGTTTGGTTGATTCCGACGGGATAGCGGGAGCCTTGGAAACGATTCGAGCAGAAGTTAAGTCGTTTTATACAACTCCTCTAAAAGGGCTTCTCTGCAGAGCCTGAACTTTTGATAATATTACCTTGGGGGCTGGTTGCAGTGTGTGTGTGTGTGTGTGTGTTTGTTTGTTTGTTTGTTTGTTTGTTTACCTTTGGGTGTGCTGGGTCTCCTCTGCATGCTGGAAAAGGAAGAGCAGCATGGGCGAGACAACTCTTCGCTTCATCAAAATAGGTGGCAGGGTGTCCGTTTACCGGATTTGAGGTCTGTACAACCCCCCCCCTCCCCTGCTTTTTTTTTTTTTTTTTTGAATGACCGTACAATTCGGGAAGTCGTGTGTGGGTCACCCAATCGTTCCAAGAAATCTTGATTTCAAGTCCCGTCCGTCCGTCCCCCCCATTCAAAGGCCGAGCGTCTCCCCAATATTGTCAGAAAGAGAAACCGGGCAGGAGAGAGAGAAAATACCAATATTTGTAATAAGGCAGAGAAGGAAGAGGTTTTATAATTTAACCACACACACACACACACACACACACACAAAAGAGAAGAGATGAGAAAAGCTTTATCCAGGATTGCACATTGGTGAAATTCTGTCTTGATCTCTGCCAATTTCCAGATCCCCCCACTTTGGAAAAACTGGGTAGCCAAGATAACCCCGTGTTTCCAATCTGCTGCTTTTCTCACCTTATTCTGACCAAAAAATAAAGCTTTGTGTTGACTCATCCATTTTCCTGATCTAAGAAAAAAAATCAAAACTCTTTAATCTCACGGAGTTTAAAATGCCTTCAGAATTGCAGGGCTCCACCAACTCTCCCTGCATATTACTGATCTAAATAATCCCTTGAAACTGCCATGAGATCCTGGATGGCAGAAGGAACGTTGATAGGATGAAGGTATGGGCCCGTTCCCATGTACCGGACTAACAGCATCGTTGGAGGAAGGGGTTTAAATTGGCAGAAAGTGGGAAAGCATTAAATCTAACTAGTGTTTTCCAGCTTGCAGCTTTCGTCCATTTAATCCCCTTCGGCTCCCTGTCTGAGAACCTTTGTGTGTTTAAAAAAAAAAAAACCACACACACCAAGAGCTTAACTTGCAAATCTTCTTCGTTGCCATCCACTTTGATCCTGATTTAACGTACTGTGCCCAGAAAGTTAGGGTTTTGCACCTGAGATAAGTAAGAGCTCGCATTCAAGCTCCAGGGAAGTCCTCCTCAGGCCTCCTCCAGTGTGGATCTTCCCTTCCTTTGTTGGGTGTGTTGCCGATTTAGTGACTTTGCAAGAACCCCACGGTGGGTTTCAGTCGGGTTTCTTCGTAGGAAGACCCCAAAGACTGAACGTAGGTTTTTCACGGAGACATTCTTGGCATCCCGTTGAACAAAAGTTGGTTTGAACAGTAAAACGGAGTTATTGAAAGCTTCTTTGTTGATGTTTGGGAATCCCATTAGCAAGACAAAAGCCTCCAAACACAGAACTGGTGAAAAATACCCCACTAGATTAAAGGGACCCCCTCTTCCATGGCCGTCGCCAAATTTGGTGATTTGGCAGTTCTCTGAGGGTGCCTACTAAACGGTCTCACCCTGGACCGCAGGACCGTAATTTCTTAAAGAGAAGAAATTCCACGCAGAGGGGGAAAAAAACAAGACCTTTTGATTCCAGTTTCCGCTTCACTTTAAACGTGATTTATTTATTCCATGTCATAGTACTTTTTCGTGATATGACTTAGTTAGCAATACGTTTGTTATAAACTTTGGCTCCGATAAAAGTAGTGACGAAACAAAAGTAAGCAGGGATTTTTCTGTGCTTGAGGCTGTTTTTTTTTTCCCCCCCACATGTCCTGCTGGTCATCGGTGGTGGTTTCTTTCGGCTTTTGAAAAGTCCCAACTTTAAAACTCTCTAAAGCTAATCTTTTCTTCTTTACTCTGGTGAGGGGAAAGAAATGCGTTTCCTGAGCGGGTGAGTGAAAAGTATTTTTCTCTATAAAGAACTTTTTTGTACTTGCATTGTTTCTTAGCCCTCTGGATCCAATGGAAAGTTAGCTGTGAATAAAATTTGTTTTATAGGAAACATCCGTCTGGGGACTACGGCGATGTTTTGTTTTCATTGCAGACACAATTTCTGGGGTCCCCCCCCCCATTTCGAGTCTTTCTCTCTTTCGTCTTTGTTTGGAACTGATTTGCAGATGTGCATACTCCTTTTGAATAAAACGTTTGCGCTCACTTTTAAAAAGTGTTTGGTTCCTTCACTGGAAAAATCACCAAACCTGTTTTATAAACTTGTGTTCTGACCTAGACTTCCCCAAAAGCACGAAGCTGACTCCTCATCCCGATAAAACCCCTTTTTTATTTAGTTTAAAGGGAATTCCTCTCCAGCAAAGTCCCGGCCAACAGTCTTTCCAGAGATTTCACAACTACAGATCTTTATCAGGCTTGGATATCTTTGCCAGGCTGATATCTTTCAAATGTCACTCTGTAGCAGACAAGACTTGGCAAGAAGTCAGGAACAGATCTTCACTCTAATGAATTGAACTCATTGTCCCCTGCAAACCCACCTCCCTTTCGCTCCTCTTTATTCCCTATGGGAGGGGCCATTCACCGTCCACCTGTGGCTTTACTCCTGAGTCGACCCTTGTTCCTTAGCAGCTCCTTTCTCCTGGCAGCTCTGTGCATGCTTACACTGGGAACAGGATCCAGCTGTTCTTCTGCCCCACTGATGTCCGACTCCGAAGGCAGCTGACAACTGTCAGACGGCCCTGGCCCCCTCTCTGCCTCGGACGCAGAGCCCTCGTCAGAGCCTTTCCCAGACTCCAGGACTTGCCCATGTTCTTCCCCAACCTCCTCTCTGTCTGAGTCTGCCACCAGCTCCGCTGGCGGGCCACAGCAGCCTAAAAGACCGGGGAAGAATGCAGCTTCCCAACATACCTGTATTCTCCAGTTTCTGGAAAAGGACTTACTGGACTAAGCAGTAGGCTTAGTAGACTACCTAAGTAGGCAGTCCAAGCTACCTACGGTGGAATAAAATTTGGATTCCCCCCACCCTTTGATACCTTAGATAAGTGGTTCCTTTCTTTCATCCCAAAAGTTAGAATTCAGAAAAGTTTCCAATAGTTCAGATTAACAAAATAACAAGAGTTGGAAGGGACCATGTAGGTCATCTAGTCCAACCCCCCTCCCAAGCAGGAGACCCTACACCATTTCTGACAAATGGCAGTCCAATCTCTTCAATTTTCTTCAACCTAGCCATTGTCATCCCCTCCCGTCCCCCCTGTGCAGAGTTCAGTTCCCAGAACTCCCCAGCCAACACGTCCATTGTGGAGGATTCTGGGAGTTGAGGTCTACCTATCTTGAAGGGGCTACTAGGTTGGGAAAGAGCTTTATGCGTTGGTGAAACACCACTTCTGCTGGCTGGGGAATTCTGGGAGTTGAAGTCCATTGGTCTTAAAACCGACAAGGTTAAGAGATACCCTTGGCCAATATTGTAGCACCTTTATTTTTTTTAAAGAAATGTCTCTGAACCTAGGAGAAAATGGCCAGTAGCCAGGTCTATATTTAGAAGTGGGTCCAACTGTCTACAAGTCGAAGGGTGAATTGGGGTGAATCCACACTTAGTGGATGATGATGAAAGCCCCCCACCCCCTTTTCATGGGGTGTATAAGCAACAGTGATCCACGTGGCACCAACTCCATCACTTCATTAGACTTGACCCCCTCTCCCCCAAAATAGAGTGCTTTATGACCTAAAAGGGCTTTGAAGATGCTGGAAGATCTTGCTGTCTCCATGGCATCATCTTAGAGCTGACTTGCAGTTAAGAGTGCGTACGTGTGTGTAAGCCATTCAGAATATTGAAATAATTAAACATATTTAATTAAATAGAATAGAAGCCCAAAGGATAAACAAAGGCTTATCTGGTTTTAATAAAGGAGAATATTTGTAGCTGGGGGGTAGGAATGAGGGGTCCTTGGTGCTCTCTGAGTTTGGCGGTTTTCTTGCAGACATTTCCTTACCCAACTAGGTAATGTCATCAGTGCTAGAAGGGAATGGGTTTTGTGGAAAGGAGAATTGTGGGGTCCTTGGTGGTCTCTGAACTTGGTGGTTTCCTTGGAGACGTTTCCTTACCCAACTAGGTAACATCATCAGTGTTAGACTTCTCCACCAAGTTTTCCCACCTCTTATGTTTGCAAAACTGGCCAATGGTCTTTCCCCCACAAAATCTCTCCTCCTTGCTGCCAGTATTTTGAAATGGGAGATTTTTGGGGTGTCACCTATGTAAACAGGTCAGAACCCCCAATCCTCTTTATCTAACGCTCACCTGGAGGCAGCTAATAAACAAAGGCATCTCTGGAGATTTTATATCAGATTTCCTGAGCATGTTGTAAAGAGATGAGACACGCTGGGATAAAGAGCACTTCTCTCTTTTTTTTTTTATCCTGGTTTAGATAAAAGTTTAAAGAACGTGGCTTCTAAAATGGGACCATCCTGTAAGAAAACGGAGCTTTTAGCCTGTTTGTACCCCTCATTTTATTTTCCGTCATTGCAGCGTTCTAAAATTGAGATTTAAGGAGCAAAAACCAAGCGAATTTTATTGTATTAAACACAGAAATTTTATCGTATTAAACACAGAAATTCGTTTGTAGCTTTGGCAACTCAGTTCCGAGCCTGCTAAAGCAAGCTTCTGAATGAAAGGCAGGCTATTAATCTAAAACCAAAAGAATTACCGTATTTTTCGGACTATAAGACAATTGTCTCCCAAATGGGGGCAAAAATGTCTGTGCGTTTTATAGACCCGTCCACCCATCAGCTTTGGCCTCAGCACGTCCTTTTTTTAGCCTTTTTCTGGCCCATTTTCAAGGCTTTTCTCGGCTCGTTTTGGAGGCTTTTTTTGGCCCGTTTTTGAGTGGTTTGGGGCCCGTTTTTGAGGCTTTTTTTGGCTCAATTTTAGGCTTTTGGGGCCCGTTTTGGAGGCTTTTTTTTGGCTCGTTTTGGAGGCTTTTTTGAGCCTCTTTTTGAGGCTTTTGGGCCAGTTTTCAGGGCATTTTCGGCCTATTTTTCAGAAAAAGGCCTCAAAAACAGCCTGGAAAAAGCCTCAACAACAGCCCAAAAAGCTTCGGAAATGGGCCACAAAAAGCCTCAAAAATGGGCCACAACAATCCCCAAAATTGGGCCACAAAAAGCCTCAAAAATGGGCTGAAAAAAGCCTTGAAAATGGTCCAAAAAGCCCCCCAAAACAGGCCAAATAAGCCTTGAAAATGGGCCAAAAAACCTCCCCAAAACAGGCTGAAAAAAGACTGGAAAAGACCCCAAAAAAAGTAGGGCAAAAGTTTTTTTTGTTGTTTTCCTATTCTAAATTTAGGTTCATCTTATAGTCTGAAAAATATGGTAAATAGCCTTTTAAGGCTGCATTTGGCACCGAGCAACGTGCTGTGTGATGCGTCTTCCAAAAATTTGAAATGGGCACCAGGTTTCTAATTAGCTTTACATCACCAGCAGTTGAAAAGCCCTGGAGAAGAGATCCCATCCTAAACACCTTTCTTTTCCCAGGTGATTTTGGAGCGTTAAATTCTGCACGTCATCTTATTAAGTCAAAGAAGAAAAAAAAAACACATTTATAGGAAGAATTTTATTTCCTCGCCTTTAAAAACAAAGAAAGCTACAACCATCCCAGCTTTGAATTCGAAACATCGTTCAGCATCGATTCTGCAAGAATGGTGAACTTTAGAAAGAAGCAGTTTTTTAAAAAAATTAGCTTTTTGTTAATTACCCTACAAAGCCCAGAGAGGTAGGTCACAACATTTCAGCCAGTTAATTGTCTTTAGGGCAACAAGCAAGAACAGGCAAAGATCTTTTTAAGAAAGTTATACTTTTGGGGGAAATGGGAATAGGCAACAAAAATCTAAATTCTGTACTTTCAATTTACCAAAGGTAGAAATTCAAAGTTACACTATTTATTGCTTGTTGTGAAAAATAGTGTTTTTTTTTTAAGAAGCAAAAGAGATCTGTAGTGTTTGAGTCACGCGAAACGGTGAGTATATAAAAAGGGTTGGAATAACTTCTTTGAAACATGTTTCTTGGTTCCATAGTCCTTTCCTACTTTCCTAAATCCAGCCGATTTCACGCTGCGAACCATGGCGCAAAATGAACTGAATCTCAACTGCACCCCAAAAATGTACCCAAGAATTAGCAGAATACTTGGTCAAGTGGTTCCATCGTCCTATTGTGAAACTTGGATTTATTATCTGAAATCAAGGGAGATTGACTACTTGCGCACGTCACTAAGATCTTGCCAAGATCTTAAAGCTTACAATTAATCAACAATTATAAGTGAGACCTGATGATCCATTGCAGCTAAACCTTAAACACTCAAAAGAGCCACAAAGGTCCTAACTAGAAGCCCCCCCATTAAATTCTGGAGCTGACCAGAAATCCGGTTCCCCCACCATAATCTCCTGCTAGTGCGGCGTCCTTTTTCCTCTACCTGTCCTAACCAAAAGCCCTATCAATTGTGGAGCCGACCGGCGACAGGAGCCGCAGCAGAGGGATGAAAGAGCCGCATCCGGCTCCAGAGCCACGGGTTGCCGACTCCTGAGCTAAACCAAACTCGCTTGTTAGATATGCACAGCAGTCGATTAGCCTAGTCGAAAGATGGAAAACGTTCCTTCTCAAAAGAAAGTGATTTTGGGACACGGTTCCCCTTTTTGGAGACTTTGATATTTGCAGTAAACACGGAGGCTCCTCTCTCTTCAGAGAATTACGCTGTGCAGCATGCCCTCCACCAAGCTCAGCTGACCCAGGAGGTTAAAGAACACAACCAAGGTCGCATTCTCAAGGAGGCTCTGGATCGTAACAGTAACAGAGTTGGAAGGGACCTTGGAGGTCATCTAGTCCAACCCCCTGCTCACAGGAGGCCTGTACTAGGGATTCGAACCGCTAACCTTTCTGCTCGACAAGCTCACTGTCTCAGCCACTGAGCCACCTAGTCAAACTCGCTGTCATAACCTGGCTGACTCAAAAGTCTCAATAGAGCCGGACGTATTGGGAGCCTTCCCAAGAACAGCCCCTCGTCTCGTTCCTGCTGCTTACGCCCCCGATGCTGCTGCCCACAATGAGGTCACTAATCCTTATCTTTATTCTTTATACTGTTTTTTATAATGGAAGTATTGCATTTTTTTTTTTTTAAAAAAAGAGAAAGTTATTTTGCTTCAAAGCTAAGGGCCCCGTCAGTTGGGGTGTAAGTCTCTCTATAAAAACCACTTTTCAACCGCTTCCAATGCTACCTTAGCTATGACAAATAAAATAATAAAATAAAACCACCCACTACATTCTGCATTCTTAAGGATCTGAAATGATATAAAACCCCCGCAGAAAATGCACACGTGAAGGAATCCGCAGCGGACGAAGTTCGTTCAAAAGGATACACAGAGATGGGCAATCGGTGGAAGACAAGTTTGTATAAAAGGAAGGATAGAGAAATGGGCTGGGAAGAGACAGGATCCCTTTCTGAACAGCCACCAACCAAACCTCGAAGGACAGAGCAATATCTCCTTACAAGGAAACATTTTCTGGTCAAGGGTCAACCTTCAGAGCATTGCAATGTCCGTTCAACAGGTTCCCTCACAGAAAGGGAAATCTTACGGCCATTGCTAGGCTGGTGAGATCTTTTACGTGCCACCAACCGGTGATGCCCATTACTCTGCTGCCCGCCGAGGCCCTCGGCTTGGATTGGAAAAAGTGAGCACTGAGTTATTTTTAGGAACATTGATTAAAAAGTGCAGCGTTGCGACCAATGTCACTGCAAGTCAGGGCAGAAATTCAGCAGGTTCTGGTGAACCGGTAGCGGAAATGTTAAGTAGTTCGGAGAACCGGCAAATGCCACCTCTAGCTGGCCCCAGAGTGGGGTGGGAATGGAGATTTTGCAATATCTTTCCCCCTGGAGTGGGAATGGAGATTTTGCAGTATCCTTCCCCTGCCACGCCCACCAAGCCATACCACGCCACGCCCACAGAACTGGTAGTAAAAAAAATTGAATTCCATCACTGCTGGAAGTAATATTTCTAAAAATGGCTGATATAGGAAAAGGGTAAAATAGAAGGAAGGGGGGATATGATAAAAATCTCCCTTGAAAATTAAAAGCAAAGAAAACTAGCTAGCGTTGGGAGGGCTCCTTGGTGCTAATCGTTCTTGCGGTCTTTCTCGTCTTTCGTTTCTTCTTCGTCGGAATATACCGTCGGTTCTTCCCCATCCTTCAGCAGTTTGCCGACGTAGTGATATTTAACTGAATAAAGACAAAAACCCCACCCCCACGAAGTAAGAATTATTATTTCAATACTGACAAACTTCGTATTCAATTCTACCCTCCCCAAGGAACACAGTATTACCAGTATCAAAGTCAAAAAAGCAACTGATTTTGTTTTAGATTCCACAAGAAGTTAAGATGGCCTGCAAAGAATAGTTAGTCCTTGCCTTGCGACCACAACTGAGCTCCAAACCTCTGTTGTTAAGTGAGATGTTTGTGATGTGAGTTTCTCCCCCATTTTACGACCTTTCTCGCCTCAGTTGTTAAGTGAATCACTTAACTAAATTAGTTAGGTTAAATTAGTCACTAGTTTAGAGACTAGTTAAATTAGTCACACGGTTGTTAAGTGAATCTGGCTTCCCCATTGACTTTACTTGTCAGAAGGTCGCAAAAGGGAAGCATGTGACCCCGGGACGCTGCAATCGTCATAAGTACATGCCAGTTGCTAAGCGAATTTTGATCCCATGATCACGGGGATGTTGCAAAGGTCGTAACTTTGGAAAAAAAAAAACCCGGTCGTAAGTTACATTTTTCAACGCTTTCGTAACTTCAAACAGTCGTTAAACAAATGGGTTGTAAGTCGAGGACTGCCTGTATAGAATATTGATTTTCCAGGACCATAGAATTCTTGTGGTCAAGCTCTTTAGGCTACAATGCTAAACAGGTTTACAGGAAAAAAAAAAAAGCTTCCCTCGATCCGATTGGATTTCGGGTTCCTACAATCGCCTAACCCGGATGGCATGTGGCGAATCAGGTTTAGGAAAGTTAAAATAGTAATTTCCGTCAGCCTCTCCAAGCAGACCGGACAGAAAACAGCTTCAGAGGAGCTATTTCTGCTTTATTGTAAGGCTACGTAAATAGAATCTGGCAAGGCTGAAGGTACAAATCGCCCGCCGTCTCTTTTTACAGCCTGATAAGGGAGATTCCTGGAGGAGTGGTGGGGTGGCCTAGAGGTCGGAGCTCTCGCCTCACAAATCAAGAGGCTGTGAGTTCGATCCTAGGTAGAGGCAGATATTTCTCTCTCTGGGCACAATGAGAATAGATCTGCTGAACAAAACTCTGCCCTGGTGACAGGAAGGGCATCCGGCCAGTAAAACACTCTGCTAGCTCCATTCAGTTGCCCAGACTCCGCCACAAGGGATTTCGGGGTCGTTAAAAGATGATGATGATAAGGGAAGTTGGTTTGCTCTCCAAGCTTGTTTCAATTTAGTTGCTGGACCTTTCGTTTAGGTAACATCATTAGCAGGATTGTCTTCTATTCTCCTTAGCTTATAAATGTCTTGTGTGCCAGTGTGATTGTTTGTTCGTTTGGAGCTATATTTAAATTCCGAACAGCTGATATAGCTCCAAATGAACAACCAAACGACCAACTGACCAGAAAAGACATTTATAAGCGAAGGAGAATAGGAGAAGACAATCCTGCTGATGATGTTACCAAGTCTGGTAACGAAACGTCCAGCAACTAAATTGAAACAAGCTTGGAAGTGCAAACCACTGCCAAAATCTAAAACCTGAGCTACAAGTATTTTCTATTATTTCAAGGGAGATTCCTCTCTTGAGTCTCCTCCTGTTATGCAGCTGTGGGCTACTCCGTCTCTTATCTGATCATTCCCTAGGGCAGGGGTCAGCAACCCACAGCTCTGGAGCCGCATGTGGCTCTTTCATCCCTGTGCTGCGGCTCCCTGTTGCTGGTCAGTTCGGACTTTCAGTTAGGACAGGTAGAGGAAAAAGGACGCCGTGCTAGGAGGAGACTATGATGGGGGAACCAGACTTCCGGTCAGCTCCAGAATCGAATGGGGGCTTCCGGCTGTGACTCCTTTGTGGCTCTTTGAGTGTTTAAGGTCGCCGACCACTGGGAGCATCTCTTCTTCCCTCTCCCAAGGCTATTTCCCACATACCATTTCCAAATTCCCGTTCAGCCTAGAAATTTTTTCCCCCGTCTATCCATCTTTACAATTACGTTTTGGCCGTGACCCTCTTAAAAACAAATGCACAGTGGGAAGAAGTGACTCTTAAGGAATCGGTTTAGGGCTGGACAAAATTCGAAATACTTACAGGTAAACTGCTGCTCCCAATCACTCAGCGTTTCTTTCTGCGTAGCGTCCAGGTCGGAGAGATCGTCGTACTCGTCTTTCAGAGCTTCTTTATCGAGGCAGAAAGTCGCGAGGCCGCGGGAAGCGTCTCTTCCGGCAAAGACGCCGTAAGGTCCCTCTGCAGAGGACAGCCCAGGGTTAGAACGATAGCAATAGCACTTAAGACTTATATGCCGCTTCACAGTGCTTTACAGCCCTCTCTAAGCGGTTTACAGAGTCAGCCTCTTGCCCCCAACAATCTGGGTCTTCATTTTACCCACCTCGGAAGGATGGAAGGCTGAGTCAATCTTGAACCGGTCAGGATCGAACTCCTGGCAGTGGGCAGAGTTTGCAATAGCAGTAAGATTTATATGCCATTTCACAATGCTTTACAGCCCTCTCTAAGCGGTTTACAGAGTCAGCATATTGTCCCCAACAATCTGGGCCCTCATTTTATGGACCTCGGAAGGATGGAAGGCTGAATCAACCGTGAGCCTGGTGAGATTCGAACTGCCAACCTGCAGGCAGCTGGCAGTCGGCAGAAGTAGCCTGCAGTACCTGCACTCTAACCACTGGGCCAGAACAGAGGCATTCGTGTCCCTACTTTGAAAGTCTTGTTAAATTTGGATCCTCCAATACTTGGGTAAACAGAGCTAACCTTTGCACAGGATTTTAAAAGCAAAGTCTTGCTTTAAAAAAAGAAAAGAAAAGAAAATTAGTTGCCAGTTTTTTTCTAAAGGCTGCAGTTTTAGCCGGATCCATCAAGGACTTTAAACAGTAAACGTAAATGAGTAATTTTGCTCGTTCTTACAAAGTGTTGCTGGGTTTGGAAAATGTCAAAACGTTTAATCGTTCTCTAGCTACTGGCCTTCCCCCACCTCCCCAACAAACAGAAATTTTACTCTATTTTGGTACAGGTGGTCCTCGACTTACGACTACAATTGAACCCAAATTTTTTGTTGTTGTTAAGCGAGACATTTGTTTAGTGAGTTTTGCCCCATAGGCTGTAAGTGTGAGAAACGGTTCGTAAGTGCTGTTCTAATTTTGAACGGTTACTAAATGGACTGTTGTAAGTCGATGACTACCTATGCTTCCTCCTTGAGGACTAGAGCCTTTTATATATATATTTTTTTTAAAGCAGGAAGGGGCAAGTATGGCAAGGCAGCTAATTCAGAACATTCTATTACAGGGGTGTCAAAACTGGATTTCTTCAAGGGACGGATCAGCATTGTAGTTCTCCGCCGCGGGCTGGCTGGGGCGGGAGGCAGGGGGAAACGGACCGCTTCCATGCTGCAGCACCATGCCGGCCAAAATGGGGAATGGAGGCCCTCCAGGCCCCATTTTCAGCCTGGACAGCCCCCTGCTGGCCGAAATGGGGTGTGTGGGGGGCTCACGTGCTCCGTTTTCAGCCTGGACGGCCCCCTGCTGGCCAAAATGGGGTAGTCCTTTTACTATTTCCAGGCTGGCCCTACGGGCTAGATTTAAGCATCCTGCGGGCCACATCCGGCCCACGGGCCTTGAGTTTGAAACCCCTGCTCTATTGCAATTTGCAAACTTCACCTGCCTGCCATTCGCTCAAGGCACACAACGGAGTTGAGATACGTATCGAGAACAAGAGGCAGGCCTAACCGACGGATGACTTTTCATGCAAAGGACAGTCAGACACAGCGAGAAAAAGAAGGGCATCGAACAGATATGGGTAGGTCCAGTTTAAGGAAAAGAAGGACTAGGGGACACGTTAGAGCAGTGTCCCAATATCTCAGGGACTCCCCCAGACAAGAGGGAGTCAAGCTATTCTCCAAAGCACCTGAGGGCAGGACAAGAAGCAACGGGTGGAAACTAATCAAGGAGAGAAGCAACCTAGAACTAAGGAGAAATTTCCTGACAGTGAGGACAATTAACCCGTGGAACAACTTGCCTCTAGAAGTTGTGAATGCTCCGACACTGGAAATTGTTAAGAAGATGTTGGATAACCATTTGTCTGAAGTGGGTCTAGGGTTTCCTGCCTAACCAAGGGGTTGGACTAGAAGACCTCTAAAGTCTCTTCCAACTCTGTTATTCTATTCTATTCTATTCTATTCTATTCTATTCTATTCTATTCTATTCTATTCTATTCTATTCTATTCTATTCTATTCTATTCTATTCTATTCTATTCTATCTATATATATTAGAAAGCCAAGAAAAAAAAACCTATCAGGCATTTTTGGGATATGGCTCAAGAAAGGGACCTTACAAAATTCAGTTTCCTACAGGCAAAAATGTATGGAACACGTAGCAGAAGAAATACTGGTCCCAACTGGTAGTCGTAAGTCAAGAACGACCTCTAGAGCCACAAGAGAAAGGACACTTAACTCTTTCACTGCTAGTTGCTTTTCAGCTGCTCCAGTTTCCAAGCTCAGCCTAAGCGGGTGCATCTAGCCAATCTTGGCTGGTGATGTCCAAAAAGGAGGATCAGATTGGGTCAGAGTTGAATTTTGTGAGCCTTGACATTCTCAGGGTTTTAGGAACGTTGAAAAAAAAACAAAACGAATCAACCCTCAAAAGCAATGGCAAAGTTGTGCAGAAATCAGGGTGGATTTGATTTAAATCGAGTTGATTTAAATCATGATTTAAATCACTAGTAAAAAGGCTTGATTTAAATCAACTCGATTTAAATCATAATTTTTAAAGAGCAACGGTCATCTCTGCTACTCCTTTGACCCACGGTTGACTCACCGATAGTCCCAGGGTTGCAGAATATACAGCCTCCTGCTACATAACTAAGCTCCATTTCATGCTGAATAAACTAAATTATTTATGCATCTTAAATAGAAAACTATCTTACGATAGATTTTTACCCCAAAAGTTTATTATTAAAATAAATTCGATAACAATCAAAAAAATCCGATTTAAATCCAAAAAATCCAATTTAAATCCAAAAAATCTGATTTTTTGATTTTTTTTAAAAAAAAATCATTGATTTTTATCCACCCTGGCAGAAATGAATAGACTTGATATTGAAAATTAAACAGACAGAAGACACAGAATATTATCAAAGATGGAACTTCTTTTACCAGCGGTTGGGAAAAAAGAGCCTGGAGATTAAGAAGGGAATCTGTATCGTTAAGCCAATTAAATATCCAGACAACACGGTGTTTATTAAGCGCTAACAATTGTAAAGAATAGAAAATTGATAAAATTTATTTTTTAAAAGCCGGAGGCGTTGTTGCAAGAAAGAGAGCCAATGACGTATTTCTGAAATTTGGTTTAGAAAAGTTTAGCTTTGTGAAGATTAGGCTATCAACAAGGTCCTTGATAGTCGTCCTTCAATATGTCTCGCCGCACAATCAGCCAGATGTTTAGACTGGAATCTGGCCTTTTTAATCCAGCTCTGGAGCCCTTTCTTCCATTACTATGATTCGCTCCCGAAGCATTGCAAACCAGGCGGGATAGAAACATACTTCGAATAGCTTTGCAAGATTCGGTAAACATGCAAGAAGGAGGAACGGAAAAACCTGTTTGGCCAACGCCAGGCGAGGAGGATTGGCAAGAGCCGTTCTGGTTTTCTTGCTCCTTGCCTAATCTCTGGAAGGAAGAACCGGAGGGGGTGGGTGGCAGCGGGAAGGGGAGGGGGGGTGCTTCGAGGCAAAGCCGTTTGGCCTTGTGTAATGCACAACCTCCCTCTTCCCACAGGCCAAGGGAGCCGAAGGCGGAGTGGCGAAAGGCATGCTTTGGCACCCAACAAAGGGCAACGTTGCAGCCTTTGGATCTCAAGAAAGAGATAATCCCCCTCGGGAGAACGAGTCTGGCTGGTTAGACGAGGACGTGGAATTGAGATGGAAATTAGGGGGTGGGGGGGTGGGCAGGCGGGCTTGGCAACAGCGCCTGGCACAGAATGGCCTGTGCCTTCCTTCACGCACCCATCCTAAATTATCGATTTAAATGATACGAAATAACTCTTTTCAGCGAGGAGGCAAGCGTGCAACGGATCCACACTTATCTCTGGATTTCCACTTTCCGTGGTTGCCCGTTCCCAGGGAAAACCCTCCCCGCTACTCCACCCGGAACCCGTTTAGGTTGATTCACACAACCACAAAGGTTTAAGGCAACACACGGTTGTGCCAAGAACGGTGGTCACTGCCTTTAAGGCAGACGCTCCTGTTTGATTTCAGGCTGGCAGAGAAGGCTTTGTCTCCCGTGGCTTTTTCGATATTACAGCTCTGTTCCCGAGCAACGGCAGATCGGATCGCAGCCATCAATATTTTATGGGGAAACACAAGAGCCATGGGTTTTGATCTCTCTCTCTCTCTCTCTCTCTCACACACACACACACACACGGGCCTTCTTTGAGTTGTGTTCCTGGCTGCCTAGATGTCACACCCGGGGGCTCAAACGCAGGATTGCAGCCAAAGCTTTTGGCACTTTGGTTTCTCAGTTTCTAGCTGCAGCTTTTGAATTCAGACTTGTTCCAAAATTAAAATGCTGGATTCAACTAAATAGTATAGGTTCTCCTGCTTGAGCAAGGGGCTGGACTAGAAGACCTCCAAGGTCCCTTCCAGCTGCTGTGCTGTTCTGTTCTATTCTATTCCTACTCCAATTCCTATTCCTTAATCGTAATTCTATTCTATTCTATTCTATTCTATTCTATTCTATTCTATTCTATTCTACTCCACTCCATTCTATTCCTACTCCTATTCCTTAATTGTAATTCTATTCTATTCTACTCTACTCTACTCCACTCCATTCCACTCATTCTATTCTATTCTATTCTACTCCATTCCACTCATTCTTTTCTCTTCTCTTCTCTTCTCTCCTCTTCTACTCCACTCCACTCCACTCCACTCCACTCATTCTATTCTATTCTACTCTACTCCATTCCACTCATTCTCTTCTCTTCTCTTCTACTCCACTCCACTCCATTCCACTCATTCTATTCTATTCTACTCCACTCCATTCCACTCATTCTCTCTTCTCTTCTATGCCACTCCACTCCACTCCACTCCACTCCACTCCATTCCATTCTATTCTAAATCTGGATTTCATTAAGTTTTAGTCTGTAAAAGTGCCTTCAGATTACAGCCCTGCCTTGGGCTCGTTAGCCAGAAATAAACAGAAATGACTCCAATAAATCTCTCTCTAAAACTGATTTACTGTAGTTCCCAGCGTTCGCATGTAACCATGCTGTGCTAATTTGGAAAAAAATTACTTTTGGACTGCCCTGGTTTTTGAACATTATAGGAGGAAAGCTATATAGTAGCCAAAAACAATGTGTCTAATTGCACTTTTCAGTTTATTATTTATCTTATTTGTATCCTGCCTTTTATTATTATTATTTTTAATAAATAACTCAAGGCAGCGAACATACCTAACACTTACTTTCTCCTTTTTCCCCATCACAACAATCCTTTGAGGTGGCTGGGGCTGAGAGAGATGGCCTGGCCTCAAGTCACCCAGCTGGTTTTCATGCCTAAAGCAGGACTAAAACTTCCAGTCACCCAGTCTGAAGCCTTCATCACTAGCCCAAACTAGCTTTCCAACTTACATATTTTATTTTATTTTATTTTATTTAGAAAATGTATATTGCTGACTCAAGGCGTCTTACAAGGATATAAAAACACCATCTAAAAGAAATAAAAAGAAAAATAATAAAATAACCCCTATCCATTATTAAAAGGCAGACGCTACCAGACTCCTGAGGATTGATTTATAAGGTGAATTTAAGTTCTGGGGACATTTTAGACAGCGAAAAGAATTTGACTGACTCTCCCAGAGTTATCTTTGCCCTCTTACATCACAAACTTGGAAACGCTTTGAAGGACCAGAGTCCATTTTCCAGCCAGGTTAATGTTTGGAAGTGACACTTTCCAAGAGGTTCTGCAAAAAACAAAAAAACTACGCCTTATGGATTATTATTATTATTATTTTGACTATTCATTTACACAAGAGCTTCAACCTCCAAGGGGCACCTTCCCACCGAATGGACAGCTTGCTATCATCGTTTGCACGATCGGCTAATCCATTCAGCATGGCTGGATATGCGTAATGTGTAATCTGTCCGTGCCTGCACTATCTGGCCCGTGAAAATTTCAAATAGAAAAAAAACTGGCCTTGACAGACAGCAGGGGAGCAGAAAGTGGCATGTGTGCCAAAGTCTACCCTTGTTCTTAACGTGTAATCTGAAAACCATGCTAGGGACATTGACCTATCCCACCAGATAAGGCAGGGAAAAGAATGTTGCACATCCCGTTGAAAAAGAATTTCGACTAGCAGGATCTTCTAGGACTGTGATGGCGAATCTATGGCACAGGTGGAACCAGAGCCATATGTGTGGGCACACAAACGTTGCCCTAGCTCAGCTCCAGCGTCCATGTGTGCACTGGCCAGCTATTCTTGGGCCTTCCGGGCTCACCAGAAGTTGGGAAATGAGCCATTTCCAGCCTCCAGAGGGCTTGTGGGTGGGGGGAGGCTGTTTTCGCCCTCCCCAGGCTCCTAGAAAGCCTCTGGAGCCTGAGGAAGGTGAAAAAGGGGCCTACCTGGCCCACCGTGCCAAAAGCGGGGGGAATTGCGGGGGTGGGGGTCATACGCACATGCATGGCGGGGTGAAGCGCATTCAATTATGGGTGTGGGCATGCGCGAGAGACACACACACCTGCACTCCCCCCCCCCGCTTTTGGCACGCGACGGCAAAAAGGTTAGCCATCACTGTTCTAGGAGAAGGGAGCCTTTTCTGCTGTTGTCCCAACAATCAGGCTGGGCCCTACTATTTTGGCCTTCCAGAACAGCGTCGGGGCCTGGCTCTGGCCACTGACCTAGTGTGTGTGTGTGTGTGTGTGTGTGTGTGTGTGTGTGTGTGTGTAAGAGTGCTATGCAACCCTGGGGTTGCTGGGTGGCTTGAGGGTGCTCCCTCCGCCTCTTTCAACCGTCTTAAATTCCTGTTTTTTATCTCTATTTTAATTCTCTTTCTGGCAGCGTGGTTTTTATTGCTAAAATGCCCGGAGTCACTTAGCTGGGAAGAAGGGCGTGTAGGAAATCTGATAAGGAAAAGAAACCAGAGATTGGATCCTAGATACACCCCACTAAATACTTCTAACCTTTACACAGCAAATCCTCAAATCCAAAGGAATCTACTTCAAACTCTGCCACTCTCCCTCCGCATAAATCCCTCACCTGGGAATCTGGTTGCAAGTTGGGGGATCCTCTCTGGGTCTTTTCTAGCTGATTGCAAATTGAGGGATCCTCTCTGAGACTTTCCTGGCTGATTGCAAGTTGGGGGATTCTTCTCTGGCTGATTGCAAGTTGGGGGATCCTCAAAATCCAAAGGAATCTACTTTAGTCTCTGCAACTCTGCCTTGGCATAAATCCCCCACTCCGAGAATCTGGTTGCAAGTTGGGGGATCCTTTCAGGGCCTTTCTGGCTGATTGCAACTTGGGGGATCCTTTCTGGGTCTTTCTGGCTGATTGCAAATTGGGGATCTTCTTTGGCTGATTGCAACTTGGGGATACTCTCTGGCTGATTGTAAGTTTGGGGATCCTCTCTGGGCCTTTTCTGGCTGATTGCAACTTGGGGATCCTCTCTGGCTGATTGCAAGTTGGGGGATCCTCAAAATCCAAAAGAATCTACTTTAGTCTGCAACTCTGCCTTGGCATAAATCCCCCCCTCTGAAAATCTGGTTGGTTTTGGGAGATCCTTTCTGGGCCTTTTCTGGCTGATTGCAAGTTGGGGATCCTCTCTGGCTGATTGCAAGTTGGGGGATCCTCTCTGGGCCTTTTGGCTGATTGCAAGTTGGGAGATCCTCTCTGGGCTTTTTCTGGCTGTTTGTAAATTGGGGGATCCTCTCTGGCTGATTGCAACTTGGGGATCCTCTCTGGGCCTTTTGGCTGATTGCAAGTTGGGGGAATCCTCTCTGGGCCTTTTCTGGCTGATTGCAACTTGGGGATCCTCTCTGGCTGATTGCAAGTTGGGAGATCCTCTCTGGGCCTTTTCTGGCTGTTTGTAAATTGGGGGATCCTTTCTGGCTGATTGCAAGTTGGGGGATCCTCTCTGGGCCTTTTCTGGCTGATTGCAACTTGGGGGATCCTCTCTGAGCCTTTTGGCTGATTGCAAGTTGGGGAATCCTTTCTGGCTGATTGCAAGTTGGGGGATCCTCTCTGAGCCTTTTGGCTGATTGCAAGTTGGGGGATCCTCTCTGGGCCTTTTCTGGCTGATTGCAAGTTGGGGAATCCTTTCTGGCTGATTGCAAGTTGGGGGATCCTCTCTGAGCCTTTTGGCTGATTGCAAGTTGGGGGATCCTCTCTGGGCCTTTTCTGGCTGATTGCAAGTTGGGGGATCCTTTCTGGCTGATTGCAACTTGGGGATCCTCTCTGGGCCTTTTCTGGCTGATTGTAAGTTGGGGAATCCTTTCTGGCTGATTGCAAGTTGGGAGATCCTCTCTGGGCCTTTTCTGGCTGATTGCAACTTGGGGATCCTCTCTGAGCCTTTTCTGACTGTTTGTAAGTTGGGGGATCCTTTCTGGCTGATTGCAAGTTGGGGATCCTCTCTGGGCCTTTTCTGGCTGATTGCAACTTGGGGATCCTCTCTGGCTGATTGCAAGTTGGGAGATCCTCTCTGGGCCTTTTCTGGCTGATTGCAAGTTGGGGGATCCTTTCTGGCTGATTGCAACTTGGGGGATCCTCTCTGAGCCTTTTGGCTGATTGCAAGTTGGGGAATCCTTTCTGGCTGATTGCAACTTGGGGGATCCTCTCTGGGCCTTTTGGCTGATTGCAAGTTGGGGGATCCTCTCTGGCTGATTGCAAGTTGGGGGAATCCTTTGTGGGGCTTCCCGGGGCCCAGGGATCCCCCCCCCGCCCTGCCGCTCACCGGGCCCGTAGAACTTCCGTCCGCGGCTGACGTCGAAGACCTTGCCGTTGATGGCCATGAGGATGCGCGGCTCGGCCAGGCCGTCGAAGGGGCGCAGCTGGGCGAGGGTGAAGTCGCGGCGCTGGAGCTTGGGCAGCGGCGGCGGCTCCTCTTCGCCCTCGGGCTGGGCGCGCGGCCGGTCCCCGCGCACGATCTGGTAGAGCAGGAAGAGGCAGAGGCCCAGCAGGCTCAGGTTGAGCGGGGAGCTGACGATCTCCATCAGCAAGCCCGGGCTGGCCGCCTCCGAGCCTTCCGCCGCCGCCTCGTCCGCCGCCATGGCCCCGCGCTGCTTAGGATCGCGGAGGAGGCTGCGTCCGCTGCTGCTGCGTCCGCTGCTGCTCTTGCAGGATGGAGGAGGGCCAGCTGGAGCCCCGGAGGAGGAGGAGGAGGAGGAGGAGGAGGAGGAACCGGGGCGGTGCGCAAGGAAAGGCGGATCCGGGAGGGAGGGAGGTTGCGCAATCGGAGATCGCCCGAAGGGGATCCACCCACCCGCCAGCCCGGCCTTGGCTGCAATCAGCTGCTGCGCCGAGAAGGCTGGAAAGGGATCGGGTGATGGGCGATGCAAGCTCGGATTCGGTTTTGCAGCTTGCTTGCTTGGAGTTTCTTAGGGCCGCCACCAGAAGTTGGAGGTTCTTAGGATGGGATGGGATAGGGATAGGATTAAATGGAAATAATAGGATATGGATAGGATGGGATAGGGATAGAATATAAATAGAATGAAATAGAAAGGATAGGATAGGATAGGATGGATAGGATAGGAATAGAATGAAGTAGAAATAGGATAGAAGTAGGATAGGATAGGAATAGAATATAAATAGAATGAAACAGAAATAATAGGATAGGATAGGATAGGAATAGAATGAAGTAGAAATAGGATAGGATAGAATAGGATAGGAAAGGAAAGGAATAGAATATAAATAGAATGAAGATAGAAATAATAGGATAGGATAGGATAGGATAGGATAGGGTATAAATAGAATGAAATAGAAAGGATAGGATAGGATATAAATAGAATGAAATAGAAAAGATAGGATAGGATAGGATAGGATAGGATAGGTAATAGAATAAAAATAGAGTGAAATAGAAATAATAGGATAGGATAGAATAGGATGGGATAGGGAATAGAATATAAATAGAATGATATAGAAATAATAGGATAGGATAGGGTATAAATAGAATGAAATAGAAAGGATAGGAATAAGAATAGAATGAAATAGCAAGAACAGAACAGAACAGAACAGAACAGAATAGAATAACAGTGTTGGGAGGGACCTTGGAGGTCTTCTAGTCCAACCCCTTGCTCGGGCAGGAAACCCTACACCATTTCAGACAAATGGTTGTCCAATCTCTTCTTTAAAACCTGGTTTATATTTTCCAGGTTAAAAGATTAATTCTCGGCTTCTGTTCAGACACCTTGGGGACAGTAGTGTTTGTTTGTCAAGCAATAATATCAATAATGGAGACTATTTTTTAGCTCAGGGCTGAAATGAAGGCTCTCTGAGCTTGGTGCTTTTCTTGCGGACGTCTTATGACCCAGCTAGGTAATGTCATCAGAGGACTAGCAACGGCACCAAATCTTCATATTGCCATTGAAGATAGTCGATTCCCTTCCCTCGAATTAATATGATAAAGAAACCAGGTTAAAACATTTAATCCGCAACGGTGATGTTGCTCGGAGTTATTCTTTTGAGTTGGGTGGCCCTATTGGTGTTGTAAACAAATAAACAAATGCATGAATAAATTCTTTTATTCCAAACTCACATCATCTGTTTGATGTGGCCGGCCTTGTTGCAATCAAACCTGATTGGCAACATTGGAACTAGCTGCATGAACATATATTTACTCTGTACATGCAATTCTCTGCAAGGCTCTTGCAATATCGATCCTACAACCTCAAGGCTGTTTTTAAGTTGACCTCAATAATGGGAAAAACAAAACGCCTTTAAATGAGAATTTAGGGTAGTAGCACTATTAACCTGCTCCATTGATGCTGGGCCCTGAATGATCCCTTCCAATTTTATTTTACTTTTTAAAACATTTTTATTGTACATTTTCCTTCATTTTACATCGCAATTTCAATTTTGCAACAACGATATGCTGGTTGTTATCCGCACCTTTTTAAATATACATCCTACAACCATTTTTCTCTTGTTCGTACAGTATACTGTAGTTCATAGAAAAAAAGAGTAAAAACTTGATATTATACAACATATTTATATCTATTGTATCCAGGGTTATAACACACTTCTCTATACGTTTATCACTCTATATATTTTGATTTGCAATTATGTACAATCTAGTACCAATATTGCTTACGATACCTACTCTTCTATATAGCTTTATACCTTTATTTGTTTCTAACTTGTTCGTCATTCATTTTCTAACCTTTGCATCTATTGTCTAGCTAGCCAATCGTACCATATCAGGTAATACTCTGTTTCTCCTTTGTCTTTTAATTTCCATCGTTAACCTGTCCATTTCCGCGCAATCTGATATTTTATTTATTACCACTTCCTCTGTAGGTATACTTCCATTTTTCTAATTTTGTGCATACATAATTCTACCCGTTGTTATTACATGTAACATTAAATATTGGATTATTTTATTGTATTTCCCCATTAGTATGCCTAGTAAAAAAAAGTTCTGGTTTTAGGTCTATTTGTTGTGTTACCATTTCCTCTAATCACTTTTTTTTATCTTTGCCCAATATTTTTTCGCTGATGGACAGATCCACTACATAAGATCCCTGTGCCTGTTTAAGATCCCTTCTAATTTTCACATACCTATCTTCTTTTTCTAGTTTATTCACACACACACACACACACACACACGTTACCTGTTTATTCAGCAGTTACAATCATGGACATTTAAAAAAATAAATAAATCTATGAATCTATGTATATCTTCTCTGGCCCCACCAGGAAATGTGAAAGTTGCAAAATGTGAGTTGCTGTGATTGTGGCAGCGTAGAAATGTGTTTAGTAAATAAATAAAATATTTAAATGTTCCTCGGCACTCACCGTATTTATTTATTTATTTATTTAGAGAAATTCAAATAAATGCAATGCAAATCAATGTGAATTTATTTGCTACCTATCTCATAGCAAATGACTCTGTTCGCATATTCCCTGTTCTGTTTCTAAACATTTAATTAAAAAAAAAATGAACAGAAAATTAGCATATAGTAAAAGGCCAACTTCAACCATAATCTGCATTGATAACCTGAAGTCGTTTTTAGATGAGTAACACTCTCCAATACAAGGGTGCCTGGTTATATTAATTAGCAATTTTATGATGTTTGTGTGTCTATATTTTTCTTGACTGTACACCGCCTTGAGTCCTACGGGAGAAAGGCGGTATAGAAATATAATAAATAAATAAATAAATAAATAAATAAATAAATATCTGGAAGTTAATTCCATTTCTGATTGGCTCACAGTCACTATAGCAACCATTTTGTGTGTGGACAACCTGTTTTGCAAAAAAAATAAAAATAAAAAAATTTACAGATTAGTGTATTTCGATTTTTGCAGAGGTTAGAATTTTGGGGTACTGTATCAACTTGCAAAGCTTTCAAGTTGCCATGAGCAGGAAGGAGGGAGAACTGATAGAACTGATTGATTTCCCTAACTGAAGCTACATTCCATGCATGCTTTCTTACTGCAATCAGAAGGAGGGTGTTGGATTTCACAGCCAGCCAAAGTGGTTAATTGGAGAATGATAATTGATTTATGACATGGCCAGGGAGGAGGGGAGAGACAGGGTCATAGGAGGAACGTAAATCTACGTGGGATTAGTTCTAACTGCATCCGAATATTGCCGAAATGGTGCTCCTAATAAATGACTGTATTTCTTTTGAAGTTTGGCTCATGGCTCATGAATTAATTAGGGCATCTTTCGGAAACTTCACATACTGATGTTTGGGAAAACAAATTAGGGGACTGGAGGCTAAAGCCTAAAACATATGATGAACGGTTGCAGGAAGTGGGCCTGGCTAGTCCAGTGAAGAGAAGGACCAGAGGAGACAGGATAAGCAGTCTATTTAAGGGGCTGCCACAGAAAAGAGGGGCTCAAGCTATTTTGAAGGCCAGACAAGGAATAATGGATGGAAACTGATCGAGGAGAGATTCAACCTAGAAATGAGGAATTTTCTGACAGTGAGAACAATCAACCCATGGAACAGAAGTTGCCTTCAGAAGTTGTGGGAGCTTCATCACTGGAAGCTTTCAAGAAGAGATTGGACTGCTATATGTCAGAAACGGTGCAGGGTCTCCTGTTTGGGCAGAGGGTTGGACTAGATGACCTACAAGATCCCTTCCAACTCTGTAAATCTGTAAAACTCTGTGCTACGCAGATTTTATAACTGGAGTTTTAATTCTGTTCTTTCCCCACACGAGGGAGTGCTGGAATTAATGAAGGGCAATTTGAGATTTTTGAATTGAACAGGGTAAAAAAAAAAAATCAAAATGCTATTGTCTTCCTTTATTTGTGGAATTTTGCAGTCGGAGAAGAAGAGGGGGGAAAGAGAGGGGGAGAGAGAGAGATCCACAGATTTTATTTATTTAAGAAATAAATATTTATTATTTATTTATTTCTTTAAAAAAAAAAAAAAACTTAACCACTGACTTGAAGCCCATGGAAGGATTTCAGTAGTAAACAGTGCTGTTTCCAATCCAAATGGTGGGTTCACACTTTACATGGAGCCTTTGCATGTCTTCGTCATCGTGACATCGTACGGTTGCAAGCTTAGCTTATTTATGTCTTTGTTTAATCAATTTGTACAGCTGCTCATCTCAGCCAGGGACAACAACACAACAAACAGAATAAAAACTATTATATCATAGATAAAGGTAAAGATTCCCCTTGCACATATGTGCTAGTTGTTCCTGACTCTAGGGGGCGGTGCTCATCTCCGTTTCAAAGCCGAAGAGCCAGTGCTCTCCGAAGACGTCTCCGTGGTCATGTAGCCGACATGACTCAACACCAAAGGCGCACGGAGCGCTGTTCCCTTCCCACCAAAGGTGGTCCCTATTTTTCTACTTGCATTTTTTACCTGCTTTCGAACTGCTAGGTTGGCAGAAGCTGGGACAAGGAACGGGAGCTTACCCCGTTACGCGGCACTAGGGATTCGAACCGCTGAACTGCCGACCTTTCGACGGACAAGCTCAGCGTCTTAGCCACTGAGCCACCGCGCCCCTTTTTATAATTATAAATGATATAATTATAGATAACCCAAATTAATTAGATACTGTGGGCCGTTGAGAAGACACAACACAAGCAATGCTAGCACCGATAACAGGCAGGAGGTGGGGTTTTTTGCGTGCTTGGAACCACAGACCCCAAAATGGGTCTGTAAA